TGTTTTTGTGTACATCCCCAAAATACAAAAACAAACAACAAACAAAAAACAGAGGGAATAGAAGCAAATACTGTTGAATGACGATGCACAGAGGGGATTGGAATCATTGTATTGAAACGAAATATGATAGGATGAGTGTAAAACTGATATTCTACATGTAAACTATCATTCAATTCACAATGAAAACAACAACAAAAAAAGATTATATATATATATACACACACACACACACACACATACATAAATGAGTTGAATAGGCATAATTTATATCCATTAAGCTCTCTGGGGTAACAAACAAAACCACTTAATGCTATAACAGTTTACATCATTCTTTTTAGAAGTCCATTCACATATACTGAATTTTATTATTTTCAGATTTACTACTCTGTGGCTCATTAATAACTTTAAGACAAACTAACATCAAATATATTCTACCTCAAGATAGTTACTGTAGGGTCAAACAATAAAATCCAGTGTAATCCGAAGTTATTACTTACAAGGATTGTCAAAAGTATTTGGAACTTAAAATATTCATTTCAAAATATTTATCAGCATAAAAGCACAGTTCACATTTTATGTTTCTAAACTATGAATCTACTCTAAAAAAGTTATTTAACTATTTTAATAAAAGGAACACTCTCAGGTTATTTTCTGTTCTGTTTTTCGTTTCTCAAATAGGTCATTTGTGTAACTGTTCTTGACATTTTCAATATATTGAATGCATATTCAATATGTTTTCAAAATTACAATGCTATAAATCAACTTACTTATAAATGACACTGATACCAAATATGAATTTAATGACAAAACCAAATTTAGTTATAAATGACAAAACATATAATGAAAGTATTGATAGTTTTTTTATTAAATATAAACCATTAGGAAAACATAAGTGAGCTCTGGTAGCGTAGTGGTTACGAATCAGGCTGCGAACCCTAAGGTCAGCGGTTCGAAACTACCAGCTGCTCCGCGGGAGAAAGAAGAGGCTTTCTACTCCCGTAAAGATTTACACCCTCGGAAACCCTGTACAGGGTCGCTATGGGTCGGAACCGACTCGATGGCACTTAACAACAACAACAACATTAGGAAAACATACTTTCTCCATTCTTTTTTTTTTTCTTGGTTGATGTCAGCTAGCTACTGGCTTCAGTTTCCACCAGGTCTGTCCCTAAAGCCATCACTGATTCCCAAACCTAGCTACTTAATTTCATCCATTTTCTGCTTTTTGTTTCATTCTACTTACCAAGGGGACTACAAAATGACACCGTCATCACAAGGATGTGATTTTGGCATCTTTTCGCAACCAAGTATTCAATGTTGACTATAGATTGAAAGTATGCATTTTTTCTTTTACCTTGAATGATAAAATCAGTCTTTATAAAATGAGAAACCCAATTATTTTTAACCTAATAGTGTTCCTTTCAGATAAGAATCTATGGTACCCACCTGGTCATACTTACAACACACACACAAAAGAAACAATTGAAAGCAGCAATGTTGAAAAGAAAGCAGAAATGGTGTGTGTTTAACAAATATCAGTAAACCAACTGATCTTAAAAATGTGACAATTCAAATGGAACAGGAAATATTTTACATGAGATCAGCTATGAAAACAGCTGACAGTAAGAATTGGTTTAAATGAGCTCTAACTGGGAATATGTCCATCACATCTTAGTGAACTCAAGTTTTAAAGCATGAATGACGGCAATGCATTGTGAAATCCTTCTAAAAAGAAAATGTCAAAAGAAAATAAACTAACATAGTTTGCTCTATGTTGGCATCTCTGTTAACATAACAATACTTCACACATAAACACACACAGATGTTCTTTCGTCCACAGACCACTTTAGCAAGTTAATAAAGACCAATTTTTCTCCCTCTACTTCCACTGAAAAAGTGAGTTAGCAGTGAGATTTTTAATGGCGCAGGGTGTGATGATGAAATGACAGAGCAGACATCAAGAGACTAAAAGTGCACTGTCAACTCTACACCATGATGCAGAGCAGTGCATTCTTTGGTACTGCATCATACTGGTTACCACAAGAATCCCTTATGGGACTCCATGTTCTATGGGTAGATGGTGTTCTCCCCAGACCTCCTAGAAAGGGTTAGTCATTTCATGAAGGGTTAGCTGTCTCTCAGAAAAGCGGAAGATCCTGAACTAGGAGGAAAAATGGGAAACACTGACTTGAACTAAGTCAACAGTGGCTTTCTCTCACCCTTGCTCTCTGGGTCTTTACTTGGAAGCACTGAGCTTTCTTGTGAGTATTTATGGCACAACCGTTAGTTTTATAAAAGCAGATCATCAAGTTTTACTCTACGTTTATTGTCTTTTGTTATTCCCACCCCCTCTTTTTTTTTTTTAAAGTGGTTTAAGTTATCTGATCTTGTCTCAACTATATCTCAAGGAGGGGTCACATGAGACAGACAACTGAAGGAGAAATAGCGCTTGCTTCATTTCCATCCAAAGTGAGCAGGCTGGCAAGACTCCCAGTCACTGTGTTCAGCATGGAGTCTCTGTTATTCCCAGTGCTAATGGGTTACGGAACTCTAGAACAACCTAACAGGGAGGATGCTGGGTGAAAACAGTGGGTGAAAACATCAGGACTATTACTCAGGCTCTGCCTTCTTTGTTCCCTTTACACGATCCCTGATTCTAAAGAACTCAATGAGAGCTTCAGCTAATCTCTGGACAAGAATATGGCTTACTGGTTTAGCAATTATGCTTTATATGAAAATTATTCACAGTGTTAAAGTACGAGAAATGTAAAAGTTAAAATACATTAGTACTATACTAATACAAATTATGTAAGACAGAAATAAAAATATTAACCCCTGAATAATCATATGTAATGTTATTCTAGAAAAGAAGTTCCTGACTTCATTGCTTGGGCCAGTTAATGTATGAAATTACATCTAAAAAGATATTTTTAAAACTTACTTGGTTAAAATCCTTTTGTCTCAAGTATGTAATTGCTTTATTTATTTCCAGATCATTAGCTAACTCTACATACTGAGATGCTTTCACAACTTCGACACACCTGTAATGTGAAGCATAAAATAGGTTATTTTGTTATAGTATACTTGAGTTGTTGCTGGTTTATCAAAGTGACTTTTCAAAGATTTTTATAGAGTACCCCAGCTGCTATGTACCATCATCGGTCTGTCAGTTTGTGGTGCTGTTGTGGCCTGTAAGTTACTTTAATACCAGCAGAGGAGCTCTGGTAGCATAGTGGTTATGAATCGGGCTGCGAACCTTAAGGCCAACAGTTTGAAACTACCAGCTGTTCTGTGGGAGAAAGATGAGGCGTTCTGCTCCTGTAAAGATTTACAGCCTTGGAAACCCTATACAGGGTCGCTATGGGTCGGAACCGACTCGACGGCACTTAACAACAACAACAACATGTCACTGGTATTTTAAATGCCAGTAGGGTCACCCATGCTATACAGGTTTCAGTGGGGCTTTCAGACTAAGACAGACTGGGAAGAAAGGCCTGACAATTGACTTTCAAATACCACCCAATGAAAACCCTGTGGGTCACAGCAGAATACTGTCCAGTAGAGCTCTGGAAGTCAGCCCCATAAGTAAGAAGGTGCAGCACAGGGAACAAGTCAATGTCAGACTCCCGGTGTGACACTGTAGGATCAGCACTGGACTGCGAACCACATGGTTGTCAGTTCAAACCCATCAGTTGCTCCTCGGAAACCTTATACAAGGTAGCTATGAGTCAGAACTGACTCGATGGCACTTAACAACAACAACCACCACCTAACCATAGTCTTGGTAAACTCCCACCAAACATTTTTTCTGATGGGCTTGTGTAAGAGATGATGGATGAAGATGCTGATGGATTATATGATTCAGCTATGAGGGACTGCTAACAGGGCTAACTATGATTGGTCAACTGGGTATAAAATAAACCATAGCAGAAGCAGAGAAGGAAGACGAGCCAGGAGTGGAGCAAGTCCTTGAATTCCTGAGATTCCTGTCCTTTGAACCTCTTCAACTCAGGGACAGAAAGCTGTGACAACACTGGAGGACTAGCAGAGGATAGCAGAGGAGCCATAGCAGCAGAGCCAAGAGGCAGAGGAGGAGACAGAGTAGTGAACTTCCTGACCTACGGAGCAAGTAAAGCTGAATGTCTCTGGGCAGGAGGCTCGTTGTGGAGCGGGTTACCTCTAAGCAGGTTTGCTGACTCACAGAGCTAGAGCTGAGTGCCTTTGGGGTGAGACTTATAGCAGCGTGGAGTGCCCTTTGGGCATTTATCAGCAGTGCTAAAAGAGCTTTGTTACACTGCCTGAGTTGGGCAGAGCTCAGGCCAAGGACAGAAGAAGCTGTCCTTACCAAAGACCGGTGTCCAGAGCATTTTTGGATCCTACACTGGAACCTTGTAACTTCCCTAATAAACCCATGACTGTGAGTATGATACCTGAGTTTTGTATGGGCACGGCAATGAATTATTGAACCAGCTGAGTAGAGAGTGCTTTGGGAGGGATGCTGGTACCATTTTTTTGCAAAAGGCATTAAAAATGTACAGTGGTTGTATTAATGGATTCGAGCATACTAACAATTGTAAGAAGGCATAAGACTGGGAGATGTTTCGTTATGTTGCATTGAGGTCACCATTAATTAGGGCTGACTCGACCCCAACTAACAACATTTGCTATGTAAGGTTAACAGTTGGTGTCTTCCAATACAGGAACTGATTTACTAAATTCTCTAGTTCTAAACTAAGAACTGCTATCTGATAGGAAAATATTCATATGCCTACAAGGAAGACCAGTTAATACAACTATTATTCAAATTTCTGCACCAACCACCAAGTCAAAGACGAACAAATAGAAGAATTGGACCAACTTCTTCAGTATGAAATTGATCAAACATGCAGTCAGGGTGCACTGATAATTACTGGTGACTGGAAAACAAAAGTTGAAAACAGAAAGGAAGGATCCGTATTTAGAAAATATGGTTTTGGTGATAGAAATGACACTGGAAATCAAATGATAGAAAAGATTTTGCAAGACCAATGAATTATACAATGAAAATATTTTTTTAAAACATCACCAGATGGAATACACAGTAACCAAATTGATTCCATCTGTGGGAAGAAATAGAGCAGAAGCTCAACATCATCAGCCAGGGGTCGACTACGGAACAGACCATCAGTTGCTCAAGTACAAGTACAGCTCTGGTAGCGTAGTGGTTACAAATCGGGCTGCAAACCGTAAGGTCAGCAGTTCAAAACTACCAGCTGCTCCGTGGGACAAAGATGAGGCTTTCTACTCCCGTAAAGATTTACACCCTCGGAAACCCTGTACAGGGTCGCTATGGGTCGGATACGACTCGACGGCACTTAACAACAACAACAAGTACAGGCTAAAGTTGAAAAGAATTAGAACAAGTCCACAAGAGCCAAAATATGACTTTGACTAGATTCACTTACATTCAGATATCATACCACGTACAGATTTGACATGCTGTACACTAATGACACAAAATCAGTGGAGTTGTGGGATGACATTAAGCACGTCGTACATAAAGAAAACAAAAGGTCATTAACAAGGCAGGAAAGAAAGGACAGACCAAAGTGGATGTCAGAAGAGATTGTGAAACCTACTTCTGATTGCAGAGTAGCTATCTATAACCAAGGGAAGAATGACAAAGTCTAAGATAGAACAGAAAATTTCAAAGGACAACTAGAGACGACAAAATAAAGTATTATAATAAAATGTGCAGAGACTTCGAGTTAGAAAATCAAAAGGGAAGAACATGTTCAACATTTCTCAAGCTGAAAGAACTGAAGAAAAATGTCAAGCTTTGTTTGTAATTGATTGTTGAATTGTTGAATGATGCGGGAAGCATCAGAAGAAGATGGAAGAAATACAGAATCACTGTACCAAAAAAGAGTTGGTTGGCATTCAACCATTTCAGGAGGTAGCACAAGATTAGGAACCAATGATACTGAAGGAAGAAGTCCAAGCTATACTGAAGGCATTGGCAAAAAACAAGACTCCAGGAATTGACGAAATATCAACTGAAATGTTTCAACAAACTGATGTAGCCCTGGAAAATAGCTACCTGGTCAAGTGATTGGAAGAGATCCAAATTTTTGTGAATTCCAAAGACTCAAAAGAACACAGGAATTATCAAACAATATCATTAATATCACATGCAAATAAAAATTTGAAGATAATTAAAAAATAGTTGTAGCAGGACATCGACAAGTAACAGCCAGAAATTCAAACTGGGTTCAGAAAATGATGTGCAATGAGGACTATCATTGCTGATGTCAGATGGATTTTGACTGAAAGCAGACAATACCAGTAACATGTTTACTTGTGTTCACTGACTAATCATCTGTGAGTATCATAACAAACTATGGATAACATTGTGATAAAT